TACATTAGTTTAAATCCTTATCTCTAGGTGATTGAGGATATTGTTGAATATCTGTTCATCAACAAAGTATTTCCTCTTGAGTTGGCGTTTGTAGAACATTAAAACATGTCAAAAAAGTTGTATGTGACGCACATAGTATTTACAGGTTGAATTTGATTCTAATATCAGAATAAAATACATGATTTATCCCAGGGGAAATTTCTGGACAGTTGTTCCATTTAAGAGTGACTGAAATAAAAGATTTAAAGAAATAAAAAATATTTTAACATAAGAAATTAAAAATGTTAAAGAACTGAGTCCAATAAAGAATAAAACCAAAATATAACCATAAAATGTAAATAAACGTAAGAAGTTTTTTCTAAACATGAACAAAATGCAACATTATTTCGAAAGCTCAAACTCGACTCTTACGTTGTTTATGTGAATGTTTTTTACCTGATGAAGGAATATAGGCAGCTCTTAGCACGCAAATAGAACTTGATTACCATGTTGACATGCTCTGGTCAGGATACCACAGGTGACCAGTGTCTTTTCTACCCTTTTTTCCCCACAGGTCTTGCCCAGAGTGTCGAATCACATCCAACTTTGTCATCCCAAGCGAGTACTGGGTGGAGGAGAAAGAAGACAAACAGAAACTCATCCAGAAATACAAGGACGGCATGGGGTACGCAGATCATCTCCACAACACACACACACACACACACACACACACACACACACACACACACACACACACACACACACACACACACCTAAAACACTGACGCTTTTTTTTTTACAAACTCCTTTGTGTCTACTGTGGGAAACAACCAATCAGAGAAACAGTGAGCGGTCTCTTTTAATTCATACTGAAGCAGTGTTTGTTTTTTAGTACAGGCGATTGAAAGCGTATTATTTTCCCTGCAGGATGGAGAAGACATATTTTAATAGAGAGCCATTGCAGGTGGATGTGAAGAGAAGCGTCAGAGGAATGCGATGCTGAATCTGCGGGAGTGGGTGGTAATGGTGGGAAGCTAAACAGGAAGTGGGCAGATTCAGATTTCACCGCAGAACATTTGGTGTTTTATTTAAAGAAACTCCACAGAGAAAACGTCCATCTCTGATGCTATCTAACCTGCTGTTTGTGCTCTCTGCTCCTCTCTTCTCCAGGAGTAAACCGTGTCGGTACTTTGACGAGGGCCGTGGAACGTGTCCTTTCGGCTCCAATTGCTTCTACAGGCACGCCTTTCCCGACGGACGGCTGGAGGAAGCGCAACCTCAGCGAAGACAGACGGGATCCAACAGCAGGAACAGGGTAACTCACTACAAACAGTCAATGCCATTTTAACAGCAATAAACCGAAAAGACATCAAACTGTGGAAGAAAGCAACACCTCCTCCGCTCTAGCGCTCTCTGCTGGATGTGGGAATGATATGCAGAGCGACCATAAACCCTGAAGTTAAAACAGCTTTGCTTTAAAGGTTCTGTATTGGGAACACCTGATCATGAAGTGAAAATCCACGCGTTTAAATAAAAATCACAGTATCAATCTGTGGTTATACTCGGTGGCAATAGTCACCACATGCTGTACAAACGTTTTGATTAAAAACGGGGACAGCTTGTATGATGCATGATGGAAGTTCCTCAAATCAGACAAATCAACAACCTTTTAAGATATTTAGATAAGATTAGGAGATTTTTTTTTGTCAAAATGGAAATCAAATTAAATTCGTGACACATTAAAATATTGTACTTTATACAATACAATAACTGTCAACGGGGGTGGGGTGCACGCTCGTGAACTGTTAGCGCCGTGTTATGCATGCCCACTGTACCTCGCGGGAGCGCGCACATCGTAAAGCCAAAACTCACAGACATTTCAATGATGACGGATTGGAAACGGTATCATTTCCTTTTTGGCGGGCATGCATAACACGGCATAACACCGGAGCCTCGCTGCGGGGAAACTTTGGTGCTGTTCCGAGTTTGTTCTAATCTGTCAAAATGACAGATGAAAAGCCTGCTGCATCAGTTGTACTTATACTAAAGAAAAATGGAATACAAATATTTAAAAGAAATTCAAGTAGAAATATGCACATTTTACTACAATATATTACATGTAAATTAAAATATAGAGTGGTGAATAAGTATTAATAAGATAAGACCTGAAAAAGTCACTTATTTATAAATATTTTAGTTCTGAAGAAAAGCAGCAAATGTTTTCTCTCTTCATGTAGTCTTTTTATTTAAATATTCCCAAATGTTTTCGTACAGTGTTTTTTTAACCATTCAGAGTTTACACAAAAGTCAAAAGAGAACCACTTACACATAATTTAAAATGCTGGAAATCGTATTGACCCTTTTTTTAAGCTCAAAGGTGTCTCCTTACATTGATGTTAAAGTGAGTGTTTTTGAAGGTAAAAATCATCTTGCCAGCAGCAGTGTATTTTATGCCCAGACTCTGAGAATACTCCTCTCCCTTCTCCTCCCAGAACTCGAGGCGAACCCCGCTGTGGGACATCTTTGACGAGCGGGAAAGCACCGACTCGTTCGACAATGAGGACGAGGAGATGGTGACGTTTGAGCTGAGCGAGATGCTCCTCATGCTGCTCGCCGCGGGGACCGACGACGAGGTGACCGACTCAGAGGACGAATGGGACTTGTTTCACGAGGAGCTGGACGATTTCTATGAGATTTACCTATAGCAGCCCTGCCTACCAACCCCCCCAATCCCCCCCCCCCTCTATGTATACTAGACCCTAGAATGGACTGTCTTGTGCGAGTGATAGACAGTAGCTTTTCCCCCCCACCAACCCCTTGTATTGTGGCAGTGCCTTTAAGCAGGCCATTAATAAATGAACTTATAAAATATCTAAAAAAGAAGAAAAAAAATCGGTGCGCTCGTGCTAAACTTTTTCTATCCTCGTGGGTCTACCTTGTGCGGTTCATGTTAAAAGGAAAAAAGAACAAAAAGAACTCAATATAAGATTTAACAGATATTATAACTTTCTTCAAATATTGCTAATAAACATTGTCAAGTTTCTTTGTGGGTGTGGGTTTGACTTGTTCGTTTACCCAGGTGTAAATATGTACTCCTGGGACTCTGAGGATGCACTCGAACTTACTCTGCACCATTTACTGTAATCCTGATGGGCATGTTGTAAGATTTTAAATACGGTTTTCCAAAGGCCGGAACTTATTTTTCTTTATATAAGCTTCTGATAGCCGATATATTGTGCTGATGTTCACCATAATTCATGTTCATGTTGTACTGAACAGTATTTAATGTGTCCCCGTGTTTCAGGGTTAAATAGTCTTTCATGAGACATTGAGATCAATATTGAACTGTCTGTCAAAGTCCAGCGAAGGAAACTCTTGTAAAGTTTTTGGCCGTTTACAGCAGGCTGACCGCTTGCCCTGATCCTGATCTACCTTGGACATTTCAGAGACTGACCAGCTCATAAAAGTTGTTTTCTTGTATTGGATTTGAACAGAAAAATTCTAAAAGACACTAATTTGAACCCCTAGTGTGCTGTTTACTACTTCTGCTCTACAAGGGCTACACTACTGAACAACACTTGAATCCCATTGGCCAATGACAGCTGCTCAGAGCGATCAAAGATACATTTTCTGACAGGTCCTGGATCAGGGCTAGGGGTTAACCTGCTAACTGACCCCCAACCTTCTTTTCTCCCCCTTTACACACAAGCGCACTTTGTTTTTCCAACTACAAAGATTGAACTAGTCTAAATTGGCTCCATATATCAGTTAAAAAAAAAAAGAGAACTTTATTTAAAATCTTTTCCCTTCCACCATCCTGTATATCAACATCCAGGAAGCATTGCAAGTATGGTAATGCCTTCCTTAGAGCCAGGCTAAAGAGTCAACACTCTTCCAGTGCAGATAAGTGTAAAGTGTAATTCACTGCTCTCTGTTGGCTTCACTGAGTAATGCTTCACTGCGGAGACACTCGTCCACAGACTCAACCTGTTCAAATCCATTGGAATGCATATGTTTATACTGAAATGTGTGTTTTCTATGTTCCACAGCCATCCATCTTAACTTGAAATTAAAGTTTATTATCAATCTGAGTACTGTGTGGACTCTAATTTATATATTGTCTGTTGTCTTAGTGGTGCAACTCCAGGTTATTTCAGTTATCAATAATTCTGCTGATTATTTTCTCAAATTGTTTCTTTAAAGGTCAGAAAATAGTGAAACAATGTACATCCCATTTTACCAAAGTCCAAAGCGCTCTATCTTAAATGATTTATCTTGTCGGACAAAATCTCTTAAGACACTTATTTTAGAACAAAGAAAGGCTTGAAATCTACACATTTGTGAGACATACTTTTCTTTTGTTTCTGTTATGCGCCATTTTGTTGTTTCTTTCTGAAATGTTTGGGCACATACTGTAACCCTAAGCCTAAAATAAAAAGAGATTTGCAAATATATCATAGTATGTCGAAATTATCAGAAAAGACAACATGTTATATAGTATGTCAAAACGTAGAAAAAAAGTTTTAGTATAGTATGTTTTTACATGATAAACTGTCATAAAGAAGTCATAGTATAGTATGTTGAAATATCATGGCAATGGTAAGTCGCATATAGCCATCTTAGTATGCTGAAACAAAATTGAAATATAAGTAAACATAGAAAAATGATCAGAAAAACTGAATGAAGTATTAATATTTGCATTACACTATAATATATGACAACAATACATATCTAGAAAATAGAAGTAAGAAATATGTCAAAACATGTTCTCTACACAATATACAAAAGTATTAGAATTGCACAGTAGAATCATATCATTCACTCAATGTTTAAAGACAACGTATTGAAAAGCAAATAAATAAATGGATACAACTGTTAAATAGCCTACAATATCAGATATTAAACCAACTGTAGTCCATTCCACCAGACTCCATGCCTGTGTTTGCGCATGTCACTCTCTCCACCTTTATAAGCATCAGAATCAGAAAGAGGGGAGAAAGGGAGGCGACCGCACAAATACAATGATCTCAGAAACTGGCAACGACAATCTGAAGGAAGACTATCTCCAATCGGAAGCGAGCTATTACCCAGACTCCCCCGTCTCCTCTTCTCCCGAAGCCGGGCAGCTGAGCAGGAGGCGGGACACCCTGACCAGCAGCAGCGGCAGCATCATCCCGGAGGAGAGCGGCTCCATCCAGCGTCTGGTCTCCTCAGCCGCGGCCGCCTCCAGCATCATGACATCGGGGGAGTTCATGCAGACCGCTCCCCTGCTGGCGCACAAATCCAAAAGGAGCCTGCTGTACAAGGCGCTGTGCTTCCTCCTGCTCGTCTTCCAGGGCGGCATCCTGGACTTCTACCTCATCATCTTCACCGACCTGTACTGGTGCTCATGGATCGCCACGGATCTGGTGGTGATCTCGGGCTGGGGGATTTTCTTCATGAAGAACGCGCGGAGCAAGAGGGAGCGGGCCTGCGGCTTCCACCAGAAGAGCTCCATCTTCGGCTGTAACCTCGGGGAGTTCACCTACGCCTACCTGGCCTGGCTCATTTATGTCATCGCATGCACTCCCAAGGTGGTGCTCATCCTGGAGACGTCTATCCTGGACCTGATCGAGCTCAAAGTGCCGTGCGGAGTGACCGGCTTCAAGATCATCATGCTGCTGTCCGTGCCGCTGCTCTTCTGCCTCATCAACTCCATCATCGAGGATCTGAACGGGGCGACACGGCACCGATCCCAGAGCTGCTTCCTGAGCACCTGCCTGGACCTGCTGGACAGCTTCACGCTGGTGGAGATGCTGCTGAGGAGCGAGATCCCCACGCTGTACCTGAAGTACACCGTCATCTCGGTGTATTTCGTGGCTCTGGCCGTGCCGACGATCTGGCTTTACGAGCTCACCGCGTCCGAGCTGCGCTTCCGGTGGCTGTGGGCCCGCTTCTGTGCGAGCCTGGTGGTCAACGCCCCCCTGCTGGTAGTCAGGTGTTTCCAGGTCTACGTCTACGGGATGCCGGTGTCGGTGTTTATGTTCAAAAACATGTTCTTCTTAGTGTGTAGGTTCTTGGAGCTGGTGGAGCAGTGTGTGGCGGTTCGCGGGGTCCGGAAGCTGGCCGGAGGCGGCAACCCGGCCCAGTTCTCCCACTGCGTGTCCGAGAACGACATGTGTCCGCACGGATACGTCAACACCCTGGCTGTCACCCAGTCCTAGAGCCCGAACTGGGGCCTGGAGCTGCCTGCGTTCAAGACAAAGCTGCAAATAGGAAAATCCACTTTCAAACTCCTTCTTCCAGATAGACAATAAGGATATCACAATAAACCTACTTGAAAGGCAGCCTATTTAGATTTATCATTACACGAAACAGGAATAGGGTACTTTTTAAAATTATAATAAAACAAAAGGAAAAAGTAGAACTATTAACCCATAGGCTATACTTAAAGAGTCACTTTATCCCAGTTACAAAAATAATTATTTTCTTATATATATCCAGGGGCCAACATAGTGGTAGTGAAAAGAAAATGTTAGTAGCCTACCACTTACAATATAAAAAATGGCATTTGTCCTCCCACAATTTTCGTTGTCAGTGTTCATTACAAAGAAATAGTCTAATTTCTGAAAAGAGATGTGGCTTTTTCGACATATTTCATTATGATTTATTTCATATGTTTCAACAGACTATATACTCAGCTTTTTGACATACAGTATGAAACCTCAAAATGCACCCATTCTTATATATTCAGTATAAAATAATACCATATATATAGTATGTTGGAAGGCTCCCAAGATAACCTAATGCATGTACTTTAAATACAAGGCCTAATGAACCTGCATACAGCCATGCAGAAAAAATATGACATGGCTTGTATATAGCTGCAGCCCTATACAAGATTTGACATCAAATGACCACAAAGTAAAGCAACCGATAGGACCTAAGGCGTTCAGGGACTCTAATAATCCCACCCAATAACCACATTGTAGTTATGATGAATACACAGATTAATAACAACAGGCAAAACTATTTTTTCAAAGCAGTTGGATTTTGTTGACAGGGTTTTTTGCCACACTGCAATATTGGATAACTTCCTCTTTGACTGATCTTTTTTGAAATTTCTACTTGGAACATTTCACATGACAGGAGAATGGATTTTCCGATTTTTGGACATGTCTGGAACACATCATCTGTACCAGCCTTACAATGCTCTCCTTACATAATCTACAGGTGCTACAGTCAAACCAAACACCTGCAACAGCCTACAACAAACAGAAGAGCAACTGTAGTGAATTGGACCTTGTTGAGTTGTGTGTTTTCTGTCTGTGAGTTTCACCGCTGCACTTGAATGGAGACGGCAGATGGACTTGGTGTCGTGTTGGGACGTAAAGTGCAATTTTTAGAATCTTCTGGACTGATTGACCAGGACTCTGCTCCCTCCTTGTACACCAGTGTTTTCTATTGGTAGAAGTATTACTGAGAGTAGACACATATGTTAGATCCGACAGTGCCATGACGAACAGGTTTTCTACAGCTTTTTCAAATTGACCCCTGGCCATCAGGACCTTCTGTTGGCATCACTGGCTGTGCTACTGTTTTAAAACTGTTTTCATTTCTGGGATCAGAAGTCCTCAAAGATCACTGTATTCAACATCCCTCATTTAAAGAGCCTCAGTTCTCTGGGTCACCTCAGCTCTTAATTTCCTTTTAAACACACCTGTGAGTCATGTCTGGAACTATAGATATTAGTATTCCTGTTTTAGAACTATATGGAATCCCATTTCTCCCCAAAAAAAATCTGTTACAAGTAATAGGAAATTGGTGATGATAAACTATTGTGCTTATGTCTGTAGAGATGATCATTATTGTAACTTTTCTCGAATCCCTCTTTTTTTTATGTCCAGTTCCAGTACCTCCAGACTAGACGAAGAAAAGTGCTCCTTTGTAATTGTCATGTACATTGTTGGCGAATGTTTTATAATTTACACAATGTCTGCCAGTGAACCAGCTACCTGCTCGATTTTGTGCGTTGAAATGAACGCAGTAGGAAGTAATTTGGTGTTTTTAGGGGGGTTCAGTGTCAAGAGTTTGAGATTTCCAGTCATAAATGGTAGAACTTAATCAGTCCAAATCTTAAAGGTAGGGTAGGTAAGTTTGAGAAACCAGCTCGAGATCGCTAGAATTTGAAAATACACAGCCGGAGAAAATCTGCCACTTCCTTACAGAGCCCCTCCTCCAACACACGAACGTGCACATGACCAATGAGGGCACGAGATAAGTTTGTGCCCCGATGGAAGGCTGACAGGCAGGTAGGCCATCCAGTTATTTTAGCCGGGCCGGCTAAAATGATTGGTCGTACTTTTTACAGTATTACGGCTTCCACAGATGACATTTTGTTATGGATTTTTTGTCAAAGCACTTAAGATATTCATTGCTATCGGGATGTTAAGAGCATTCCATGGAATATAACAAAAAGTGTATCTCGAGCCGGTTTCTCAAACTTACCTACCCCACCTTTAACATGATGGCATAGATACAATCTATATATAACAATCAATATATGAACTTTTGGTTTAGAGAGCTTGAAGAAATTCAGACCCACCTGGAGGAAAACATGAATTCCATAAATCCTATAGTGGTGCCTCTCGTGGCCCAAATTGACTATTACAACAACACACTATTTAAAAAATCTAAAATGTTACCAACATTTTACAAACAAAAACGATACAAATTCAGATAAGACCTTTAAAATGGATCACCAGATTGTTTTGTTCTCACTTGTCTTGCGTCTGAGGGCTTCCTTAAATAATCAATTGAATCGAGTAAAAAGCGACAACATGCCGTAGCCAACCGGTTGTGTTTATCCACCTTGATGTGTCGACTTGTGAACGTTTACCTCATTATGAGTTCATATGGGAGACAATCTGCTTCCAAGTGTTTGACGGGAACAGCACACTTGAAGAATGACTGTGGGTACACTAGTGGCAGTGGTAATGTACATAACAAACATGGCAGATTAAAGTATATTATATAATCAAAAAGATGTGAAGTGAAGACAGGTGCAATATGGGTCAGAGGAGTCGGAACAGATTTTAGTGCCTATTATTTTGGAGCTCATAGTTTGTGCTGCATGAATGAGTCCCTAAGTCCCGGAAGTGAGGTAGCATTTTTGCTCTTCAAGTTCCCTCATCTTGAAGTCAATGGGTTTTCTGAATGGATTTTTGGTTATATGCCTGAAATAAGGCGTGTGATTAACACAAACTTAAAAGAGTTTTGAGGCTTTTACATTTTTTAAAAGAGGGTGTTGCTAGCTAGCGGTTAAATGAGGCTAACGAGTTCATCACCACTAAGAAATTGCAGTGCTTGGTGTAGTATGATTATAGCTAATGTTAGATTGTTATGCTTACAAAACATACAGTGGTGTTCATTTGATAAGTTTAGTTTGCTGAACAAAACATCTAAGTATATTTAACTTGTGTTTCCCACAGAACTTGTTTTTTGCATCATGAATCAAAGGAACCAGCGAATACTAACTTTGGGGTTGTTTTCAAAATGCACATCATCCCTGCAGCACAGTTTTGAGGGGTATTGAATCACAGTGAGGGTATGTGTGATTTCCTTGCTTTATTTGCCTCTCTGTGAGGGATCAGTGTATGCAGGTCAGAGGTTGTGCCTTGTGTGGCTGCTGAGGGGTCAAGACTGAGGAGGAGGAATGTCCATCATAAAGGAACTGACCAGAGTGTATCCCCTTCAGTACAAATCACAAATAGTTTCAGGTCTCTGCAGGGGATTCTCATGCCGTGTTGAAATCAGCGGATATCTAGGGAAAAGCTAACTTAAAACATGCTCAGAAATGTCTAGAATTGATAAACAGTAGACGTGATTTGGAGGTAAAAACAGTCAAACATACAAAATCAAGCGTGAATTGTGAACTTATTTATAGATGTAACTAATCTAACTTCACTCTTTTTCACACAAAATCAGACAATTCTCCTTTAAGAGGTCCAGACAAACTAAATTGCTCATGAACAATCCGAAATCTTGTTGCATTTGTTATGTTAAACAATAATAATGCTCATATTTTCGACCAATGAAATGGAGTGATATACAAAATTGACAACCTAATCTCAATATAGCTTTTCCCAGAGTTCAGAATGAGCCTTCACTCTTAACACATATATAATGTTAGATTGATAACGTTGGCTGCTGTTATGAATATGATACGAGGTTATCCTGACTTACTTTCTCATATTGCAATGAGAACAGCTTCTATTTGTTTGTTGCTTATCATATATTGCCAAAGTATTTCAGAAATGTTATATTTTATACTATTTTGTGTTATTTCCTTGTGCCAGTAATCTGCAATGCCTTTGCAAATGTATCCTACACTGTTGTTAGCGCTTTGTTACAATCTTTTTTGGATTTGCACATGAAGCTCATCACTCAGTTATTATTATGAAGCTCTAAGCTGAAGTATGTTTGACCTTTAACCTGCATGGACGAGCACAGTGCAAAGCTACACTGGAACAACCAAAGGCTTCAATAGACGGATATTCAAAAGAAGCCAATCATGCTACTCAGATTTCTATTTCATTCTTTAGCCTAGGTGCAATGAAAAACACTCTCTTGTCTTACATTATATGGGCTTTCTTTTTTATCCTAATTTGTTTACAGGGAAATACCATTGCTGTTGTTTACAGATAGGATTCTACCTGTACTGTAAAGTTGTGTAGTGTATATCTGTACTGATATAATCTATGTACCGTAGATGTAAGACAGAGTATTATGTGGTCGAAACCTGAAATAAATCGGAGGAAAGTGTACAAAGTGATTTGTGTGTGATGTTTATTATTGATCAGTTGATAACAGATGAAAAGGACCGACCATGAAACCAAGATAAAGGCTTTTTATTATTTACATTATTCAACAAAGACTCATGTTCGAAAGGAATTGTAATACACACCGATTAAAGAAAAGAAAAACATACAAAATACTTTATATAAAATAAAAAAACACTGATTGAAATATAATGGAACAATTTGAACCATAATACATTTAGTCTGTCCAACTTAATGATTGTTATTACCAAGCAACATCTCCCGAAGGATAGATTCATTTACTCTCCTTTTGTATTGTGAATGTAATATTGGTGGTAACTTGATTAAGTCAATTATATACTATGTAAGCACAAAATAAACTGAAATAATAAGTCTTAAAACTATTTTTTACACAGTCTATAAAGCAGTGATTGTACCAGAAAGAAAGTAGAGCTTTCAGACTACCCTTCAGATTAGATTTGATTACATTCTTTAAAACATGAATAGATGTTTCTCATACATCCACATGTAAATATAACAACCAGTCGAGGCTGCTGTGAGCGTGCAAACAAGAATTATGAAAAAAAGGTATCTTGGAGAGGTTGTTCTTGCGTTTTTAAAAAGACTTGTGTGTGTGTGTGTGTGTGTGTGTGTGTGTGTGTGTGTGTGTGTGTGTGTGTGTGTGTGTGTGTGTGTGTGTGTGTGTAGTTATATGTCCAACCTATTGAGGAGTCTAACTAGTAAGTGCAGTAAGAAACATACAAAAATACGAAAGATACAAAAATGAACTTGTTGGTGGCTATAATTAAATGTGTTATTTCAAAGCTCTCTTTGTGAGAGTGCCTACACGAAGTGAGACAGAAATGGCACATGTTTTCAATCCCTAACCAATCACAGACTCTCAAGTGATTTCCCTGCTTTAAATACTGACCAATCAGAATTGTCCCAACTGATTGGAAGGAGTTTAAGAAGATGTAACAAAAGTCATCTTTCTTCTTCAATCTCTTGATTTAGGTTTATAATGTTCTGGTCTCAGCAAACATGGATCAAACAACACACAATTTATTGGATATGAACAGATCTACATGTACGTCCAAGTGTCCACTTATTTGTCCCTTCAAGGCATGACCTTGTTCAATTGTCTTCATTTGTTATGATCAAACAACATATAAATACTCAATTGGTTATTGTGATCAGAAAATCATCAGCAAACATAGGATTTGTAACATGCCCCACACCCCAGAAATACCTCTGTCTCCGGCGCGCCTACGCCCTCCTACGTTGTGATTGTGCACGTGGTGTCGGTTAAAGTCAGTGAGGATTTTGTACTTTTAACTTAGACTTTGAACTGAGAGCACAAGTTCTCTTCAGGACTCTATGTCAAACAGCTGCTCCTGCAGTCTTCTCAGGGCCTCCATTGGATCCTCTTTTGAAGCTGATTCATTCTGGGAGGACATCTTGGAGATGTAGCCCTGATCAGACCCACTGTTAGGACCCTTTCCTGCGGGCTCCAGAACCTCGTCTTCCTCCATCTCCACTGGCTGAGAGAGGACGGCTTCAGACGGAGGGAAATGTACACTCTGCATGCTGGTACAAGAGGAGTCTTGAGGTTTTATAACCAGGGAGTTCTGTAAGGCCAAACTTCTCTGGTCCGAATGAGAGGAGGGTTGGCTTATGGGTAGCAGGTAATCCCCTTCCTCATCCTCAGTGGGATTTTGACTGAAGGGTTTTTCCTCGAGGGAGACCCAGTTCTGCCTTGGCGGTTGTGGATTGTTCACAACTGGCTCAACTGTGTAGACAGATTCTGGCCTGGGGCTGCGACGGTACAGGTGATCCATCGACTCTTCATCCAGGGTTGACAGACGTCTGCACTCAGGGTTAACTACTGGTGTAAGTTCTGCCACTGACCAAATCTGGCGTGGGGGGTTCAGTTCAGGTGTAAGGACATGAACACCTACTCCATTTTCATTGATTTCTACCTCATTGATGAAGACAGGGAGCCCATCTCTTATTAGAGGAACACACTCGAGGACAGGAGGGATCTGCAGCTGGTCGATGAGCAGGCTGGCCTCAGTTATCACCTCCTCCTCATCGTCCACACACTCCTTCTCAAACCAATCAGGGTTGTCCAACTGGTAGGCCTGGAAGGTTTCAACGGCACACTTCAGATCCCTACCCGAGGGACAGTCAGAGTAATCGTCCGCCCCGATGCCCTTGATGTGGCAGACCTGATCCGGCTGATATTTCTCAACGTCTAAGATGCGGAAGTACAGCTCCTCGAAATGCTTCATCAGCTTGTACTTGACGCCGATGTCAAAAACTGACGGTACGTCTTGCTCCCCGCTGATGTCATTGAAGTACGCCACCATGTACTTGCCCAGCATGCCCGTGTGATGCATGTCAGGCAGGAAGAGGTTGAGGAAAGGAGTGAGCATGTCGTCGGTGGGGGACAGAACGTCTTCCCTCAGTTTCACCCGACCTTGGCCGCACATGGCCCTCCACTTGGCCTGAACGCCTCGCGAGCACAGCACCAGGATTTTGTCGGAAGGATTTTTGAGCTGTTGTCGCTGCCACTCGAGCCAGCGAATGCGCCCGACCACGCCGATGGAGGTGGTGTCCAGCAGGTCCACCAGCACCTCGGTGCCACACTGGGCCTGGAGGAAGGCGCACAGTTTCAGCACCACGTCCCTGTAGAGGCGGTGGTCTTGGGAGTAGATGATCAGCACCTTGGGAGGTTGTTTAAGCTGCTGTGGTTGACGTCTTTCATCTCCCACAGGTGGCGCAATAACAGCAGGTTTCTCTGAAAGTGCATGAGAGCATAGATAAATGCCATATGCAAATTAAAAGCAGTTTTTAAACCCATAACATTGAATGCTCAAAAATCAATGTTTAAATGAAGAACTAATGCTTTTAAAGGGGCCCTATTACGGGTTAGGGTTAGGGTTCATATTTGTATTTTGTGCCTCTACTGTGACATGTTTACATGCTTTAATGTTCAAAAAGGTTTTTATTACTCTCATGTGCTGCAGCAGCTCTTTTCACCCTCTGTCTGAAACCAGAGCCCAGTCTGCTCTGATTGGTTAGCTGGCCGGCTCTGTTGTGATTGGTCAAACTCAATGTCCTGCCACTTAACCTATCAAGTACAATGTGTTGGATCGCTAGCCAATAGAAGCGCAAGTGTTACATAGTGATGTCATTATGTTTCGGAAGTAAACAAAGGAGTCCAATTGTGGCGTTTCAGGCAGGAGGCGAGTGTGTTGGAGAGAAACCCCCTCTTGTGTGAGCTTTGGTATTTTAGCCTTAACCTATAGAAAATAACCTATACAACACACTACTGGAAAGGGAAGTCTCTAAAAAGCATAATGAGGTCTCTTTCAAATGTACTGTATATGCGACTTACTTGGCTTCCTACAGAGAAGGCACGTCATAGCGGTCAGCACGACACAGAAAAAGACCACTCCCACAATGACAAATGCGTACACTTGGACATTGCGGGCTTCTGTTGGCTTCACTGTGGAAATGAAAACACAGATCACTGATTAGCATTTCCTTTGAGGTGCAGTCGCTATGGCTATTGTATTAACTGCCATGGCAAATGTGTACATGTATAGGCCCCAGGGCTGAATCTGGATTACTTTCCCTTTAGTGCCACTAGTTGGTAGAAGGTACCAGTATGGAGTTACAGTATGGTTGATTCAATCTGATTTACTTTAAGTTCAGCCCATAATGGCTCATGATTTAGGTCCAGATTTCACCTGGATGTAGTCTAATTTGTAAATGACATCACATTTGATATCTTGATGAAAACTGGCGTTGTGTTTACACAATGCCCAAAACTCACCTTCATATTGTATTAAATTATGTAGGGTCAAGTTCACATACTTCTTTTTACTTACATCCTCATTCCTCACATTCAAGATAACAAGGAAGAGAAAAAGGAATTGAGGAAACACATATTTGTTAGCTGCATTTCCTTGATTATTAACTGTACAAGATGTATGTAAAAACAGGGTGTGTTGATGAAGGGAGAGTCTATCTATCACCACTTATCTCTCCTGGTTGTTATTCAATATGTATTGCCTTTTTTCAAAGGCTTCGTACCTGTCGAAGGACCAGGACAAATATCCACATTTCTCCTTTTACGGGCACAGTCCGTACCACATTGTAGGAATATAGGTTTGATCTGCAGGCAAGAATAAAGACATGTTAACACATTTGATTATAGAGGGTGCTGAGTCCTAGCAGCTGGAAAACAGACAGTTAAGTAATACATTACCATCACTCAGCAAAATAGATTTGAAAAGATTTACCTCAATGACAAACTGGCAGCAAGTTTTCGGCCAATTGTCAAGTTTGAATGTTGCATTCAGGGTCGTCTGATTTTCCTGGGGAACAGAGAGTGATGATTGAGGCACGGCATTTAATAGTGAACAAGAAGAAGATGCTGCCTATAAGGACACTTAGAGGCAAATATAAACTCAAAATGTTGATTTGCCTTTAATTTGATTGGGTGCACCTGGTTAAGACTAATGGAGTGTGATCCAACTTCTCTCCAACAAATTCTACCCCCCTATGTATAAAATAGACTTTAATCTGTAATACAGACTACAGTTCAGAGGCAGACAATAATATTTTTAACTAATTATCCTCAGAATGTATGTGTTTTACAGGACAATAATGTTTAATATATAAAAGTGTAAACCATTATTACAGTATGTTTCATTATTTTCTCTCGTCTTGGGCGCAGAACCAATCGCTGATCGTTGCTACCCGACAACTATGCGAACAAAACATAAATTCAGCCAATTAGCGTCCTCAGATCTGATGGCCAAGGGGCGACAAATTCAGCGCCCAAGGCAGTCTGTGCGTGGGAACACTTTGAGGTAAAGTTACAGTATTTGATGAAGATGGCTGCTTGTACTTCTGGAGACCCCGGACCCAGTTTATACAGTTTATACTTTATAAATACTGTAAACTATGTCCAGGACAAGGTGTTTGGAAGTTTTGATTCATAGTTAACCACACTGAAGATTATGGAGGTATACCACACTACTCACACAGCTGACAACTATTTCTGTGTGACAATGCACTACTCCGTCTGTAAGAGATGTCATTAAATAACTAGGCTACAATTTTGATGATTCTTTTGAGGAGTTTTTTTTGTAAGGTCAGTACTAAACAGTCAGCAGCCTTTGTAAGCCCTTCTACAACCCCAGTCAGTGAAAACTCCCCTGCAGTGCCAGTCAGATACTTTGAATCTGTTGATTAGTCTTCCAATATATATATGTTTTTCTTTAAAATGCAAGAGTTGGGTGGTCTGTGTTTTGAAGCAGATAAAACTTACTTTATTTATACAGTATCCTTAGAAAGGACCGATGGAGAACTGCAGCTAATGCCTCAGTGGTTTGCAAATATAATGAGCTGCCTTTTGTACAATAAGCAGAAAATAGGACACACAGTTTCCTGTACTGAAAGAAAACTGGGGTAAAAAGTAGGCTAAGGTACAAAACACAGGATGTGGTATTTAGCACAGATACAGTAATCTTCTGGGTCAAATCGCATGTCATTACATTATTACATGTTACTTGTGAGACGCTTTTATCCAAAGCGACTTACATACTCAATACTGTGGGCAATCCCCACAGGAGCAATTTGGGGTGAAGTGTCTTGCCCAGGGACACATCGACATGCTGACTGCAGTGGGGTTTGAACCTGTGACCCCCTGATCCCAACACCAACGCTCTATCCACTGCACATCTTCCATGTGAGCTACCCAACTAACATATTTAGAGAGGCTTGACGTGACCTTACCTTGTATGTATGGGTATCAAAAATGATACTGAAGCATTTAACAATGACTATGTACTCCTCACAGAGTGGGTCAGGAGTGAAGCTCACAGCCAGTGTAGATTCTCTGCTGACTGCAGTGATGCCAGGCCTCCACAGACTTCCTGTAGTACAGCAACAAGACAACAAGTTAGAGGTCTTTCATATTATTTATTAACTTCTACTGGTCTTTAGAATATCAGGGACTTACCTCTCTCGATGCAAAAACGGGTCATCTGCATTTTAGCATCTTGACATCCTAAAGAAACCATAAAATGTCATCAAAGTCGAGATCTCAAACATTTCCATCTTAACTGTATTTTAGAAATCGAGTTACGGACGACGGAGAGTTTCCTTGATCTCAACAAGGGCAGTGAGAGAAACTATGTTCAAAACTGAAATGAGGTTTTGACTTCAACTCACCAGGAACGACCACCATTTTGCTGACGTCGTAGATGCTATGGTTTATCTCTGGTTTGGGGATGTTGAAGACGGAGACCTGGTATGTCTGACCCGGGTCCAGCACCAGCATGTTAGCTGAGAACGACCACTGAAAACATCAAATAATAATGTCTGTCAGAAAATGTATATTAATCATATTATTTATCTGTTCAAGCAAATTAAAAACTGTCATCACAAATAAAAGTGTTGCTGGGCTAAAAGTATACAAACATTGGTTTTGAGATCATAAAGCAAGGGGAATTAACGTAAAATAAATAACACACAAAATAAGAGGTGATGTCATTTAGACAGATAATTAACTCATACAAAGCAGATACAATGTCAATACAACTCTTAAACTTAAAACAGAAGCAAGTTAAGATAATATCTTAGTTGTTGTGAGCCACACACCTTTTCCCCTGATGGACTTCTCATTGCCAGTTGTTTTTTTAAAGAATATCGCACACACACGTTAGCGTTGGTTGACAACATCATAACATTAAGCTCGGTGGCGTTGAGGTCACGAATACCACCTGAGGAGAAACACAGCAGAGGTCACTTCCTGTCTTCAAAACATCACATCAGGAGAAGCTTCATCTGGCTTATCATTGAATCTTCATTCCACCGCTGCTTATTGCATCATTTCTGTATAAAAAACCATAGTTACCATCATCCTTCAACTTCCAGCTGGCCTCCAGTACAGGCTGCAGGTGTCCTGACTCGTCCCCCCTGGTGTCCACAGAGACCTGCAGGTCCTCTGGATGGCTGGGAGTGTACTCATACACTTTCAGCCAGCCCTTGTCCAGACAGTCAACTGCTGAACACACACGCTGAATGTCAGAGAGCTGAGAAGTCTAACAACACATCTGATTTTTCATGCATGATCCATCATTTTCTTTAACAGCGAGAAGTATCCCAAACAAAGTTAGTTTGGGGTAAAATTTAGAAAATTCCAATGTTTACATTTTAAGATTTTGAGAAATTGAGGTGCTTGTAATTTCTTTTCATTGCAAATTGTACTTCTATTGTACTACAATTCAATGAGAAATATTGTACTTTTTGTTTGACTATATTTATTTTACAGCTCAAATAACAAGTTACTTTAAATGTTAGGATTTTTGAGAGTTAAAAAAAATGTAAATGTATTTTTATATAGGTTTTGTCATAAATTAAACTAGCCAACTAATTAATTATCGTTAAAATTATTTCCAATAAAAAAAGAATGTGTTACTTATTTTTATTTCTTTACAATTATCTGAATTCTGTACTTCTACATTTTATACTTTAAGTACATATTGCTGATTCTACTTAATTGTACTTACATTTTCAATGGAGGGATTTTACTTACGTATGTTTACAGTGTAGTATTAGTACTTTTACAGATGTGAATACTTCTACAACTTGCTGACAACATATGTCTGAACATTAGGTTACAGAATAGAAAAGAGCAATCGGCTTTCTCCCTTTGTGATAGTAAAGTGAAAGTAACAAGAATAATACAATGATGGAATATAGAAGAATTGAATATACTCACAAATGGTGACTTTACACTCCAAACCCTGCGTCAGGAAAAAAAGAGTAAAGTATATTGAAATCAGTTTTTATCAATCTTGTAAATAGAAACTCTTTACAGATAAGGCCCTTAACAAAATTAAACATCAACATAGACCAGGTTAATATGTAATGATTTATTAATAATTAAACAGGCAGTTGTTGTTCTAACTATGTGTCGCTGTGAACGTTTCTGTGAAAGGAACAGAGCTGATTTTTAGTTTTTTTCAATCTTGGCATCAATATGCTGTCATATAGTCATGGCCATTGCTTTTTCAAAATGTGTTATGGTTACCACAGTTTTACAATATATGCAATGACTCAATAGGTTGACAGTTGAACTTTAAGTGGTGTAATTTCCAGATGTTGTTACTTCATGTTACCATAACAATATATATATGAAATCTGACATTATTATCCAAGCATGCAATGTCTTTTAAGTAACACGAAATAGTCATAATACTGGGAACCAACAGTGATGATACAAAAAGGAAAATGGTTCAAAAACACATTAAAATAACTTCTTATTGCACATTTAACTTTAACTTCTTATGTTTGTAGGCCTATACATATTTCATTCAATGTATTGTATTGGGCTTTTTTCTTAACCTTTTTATGTTTATATATATTTTGTTATTTTATCTTTTAATTACACATTTCACTTTTACTTCTTATGTTTGTATAAATATTGTATTACATTTTTGTATCTTGTATTTAATTTGAACATGGAGGAACTATCACCTAACCCACGTTTTCTTTTAAATAAATAAATACATACTTTTGATTCTGATTAATTAATTCTGCTTATGGGAAATTGTTGTTTATTTATTTAAACCCTTTAAGTCTGCTGGTGGTCAGGATATCACCTGTGTAACTGAAGCTAACCTTGCTAGCTGCTAACAGTGAGCCGTGCTATCTTACCTGTTGAGAGCAGATGAAAGGCCCTGCTACACTCCACGCAGCGACACACAGAGACATACACCCTAACACCAGAACTAGTCGAATAATCATTTTGAAGAAGGAATATCATCAGTCCATGTCCCTGTCATTAGAAACATTTGAGACAAAGTTTGAAAACGTCTAAACAAAGGCGAGAACTCAACGTCACTGACGACGCTGAGGAAATTAATGAGAAACTTCCTGCTCTCTATGTAAATCACTTGTTCCGTTTACAGTAAGTTACAGTATGCTGCCTTCATGTCGCATGGGAATTTAGTGTACTGTTCAATTGATATTGCCTGCTTTTATATTTATTAGATAATGACATTACATCGCAGACAGAAGTCAAATTCAGCAAATATGCGTGTAATGTAATGCCATTCAGACTTCAGAGTTCACTTTATAAAATATTAAAATGATAAATGTGTTCGTATTTATCAACAGAGTTTTACATTACTTAAAAACAGGTGCACCATGAAAGTGTGTAGGGAGTTACATTTCCCTTCCTTTTCAGGGCTGCACATAGACACCATAAATAGTATCCATTAAAAATAACATCGGCATATATTCTATGTATATTCTGGCAGGAAGAAGATCAACAAAGAAGGTAGCATCTGCCAGGAAGTTTTTAACAACATGATTTTCCTGTGGAGTTTGAATGCAACATGAATAATAACACAGATCTCTTCCTTGTGTCGGCTCAGGCAGCTTCAACATGACACATAACAGCAGCTTGAGTTTTTCTCAAGAAATGAGGCCATCATATATTTCACCACCTACACCATGAACAGCATCTCCCACACTATTTGTTTTTTTAATTTCCACTTTCTGAATAAAACACAAACAAATAAAGTCAGGCAGTAGGCAGTGGTGTAAAGTAACTAAGTATACGTACTGAAGTACTGTACTTAGCTCAATTTTGAGGTAGCCCATACTTGTACTGTACTTGAGTATTTTAATTGGTAGCTACTTTGTACTTCTACTCCAATACATTCAGAGGTGAATTGTGTACTTTTTTTGATTTGTGTAATGTCTGCATAATGAGTTCTTTCATTTACTTTAAGTATACTTGTAGGCTATGCTAATACTTTTGTACTTTTACTTCAGTAACTTTTGGATTGCATGACTTTTACTTGTAAGCGAGTAGTCCTACACTCTAGTACTTCTACTTTTACTTAAGTACAAGATCTGAGTACTTCTCCCACCTCTGCCTAGTTGTGTAGATGTCAACTTAAAGTGTGGGCCTATACAACAGTGTATTGTTATTATATGGCACATTATAAACATTTTGACTTCCACACATTCACCACCAGACGGCACCACACGACTGCAGCATCAGAATACTGTGTGTGTGTACAGCTGCAGTCTGTACATAGGACTCACTGAACAGTGGGATCATGTGCACTTATCTATCATTATTTCATTTAAATCAACAAGGTGAATTCTTAATGCAGAGTCAAAAGAGTAAAGACATCTTACATTTCTTGTCTGGTGCTATGTAGGAACGGTCTGTGACTGAAAAGGCAGTTCACCCCATGAACAAACAAAAACAAACATGTTCCTCTAACCGACATTTATCAATTTAGATTTTTTTTTATTTATTATATTTGTGTTAGTTGCAGAGGTTAAGAATATCCGCTGTATAGATGTCTGACTTCTCTCAAATATGATGGAGATATATGGTGCCTGGCCTGTGGTGCTCAAACCTCCAAAAATACATTTGAAAAGGTCAACATGAGTTCCAGAAATCATGTTTCAATTATTCAAAACTATCCACAAATTAGCATTTTCATGTTGGAGCCATTAACAATAGAGTCTGTGACACACTTACACTTGACTGCTCGAACTTATCCCACGTTATTTTCCCTTGAATCCATTTAAGACGTGGAAAAACATCTTAACATCAAAAGTAAAGTTACAATTACAATCTTTAGAGTGGTTTGCAAGGGCCCACAGGTATGAAATAAGATTGATAATAAAAAAAAATTAAAATGTCAGTTCTTCAAAAAGAGCTTATGGCAGTGTTGTTTTTAAAATATGCCGGAGTTAAAATATACTTAACTTAAATTGTCATACACTGAAATGCAATTAATTTGAACCATTATTCTTCCTTTGTTGTATATTTAACATATCTTACCTTTTATTTTTTTTAAATGCTCAGACGTATTAAACAAATGTTGTGGGATCATTTAGTTAGGGTAGATTAGTTTAAGATTTAAGGTATTCTGTAAGTGTTTTTTCATCTTATAATCACTATCTCCAATTCTAGATGTGTTAGTAACATATATTTTTCTGTCTAGTGTCTTGTACCTTATTCTCAAGCTTTGGATATTTTGTTGGGGTGTCCCATTATGTCTTATCATTGTACTTAATTGAAATTAGATTCTCAAAGACTTAGAATAAGCAACCATTTGGGCACAATCACTTTCATTTTAACTACTAAATAAAGTGGATTTTACAATCTGAAGTAATGATTTGGTTCCAACTTGTCTCATCATCTTACTTCTCGGGTGTCTTGACCTTTTAGACAAAACTATGTAAATAAGCCCCATCTTTTCATCTTCTGGAACAAACCTTAAGTATCCTCTTTGAAATATTCTGTCAGTTTCACTAAATCAATGAAGCAGCAGTCCCTCCTTTCTCATCCCTGACACATTAATGTGCCACGCCTGAATTAAATCCCCCCCCCCCCACCCCCAGCCTTCAGAGACAGTGTGGTTGGATCAGTGGGGCCCCTCCATGGGGGCCGTGCTGCCTTCAGTTGAGTCCAGGTGTGTATAAGGCAGAGATTAGACCTGCCACAGATAAGATAAAGCTTTATACTGGGCTGACTGACAGGATCCTTCAGCACAAGTCATTGGACTGGAAATGCTGGATAAAGAATTGCCACACTACCACTATACCCTGGTGTCCACATGGGATCAAAACATTTCGAAATAAATCTGTGTGTATTTGTATGTGGGTGTCTTTGCTCTGATCGGATCAAAATTGACAACTTTTTTTCAAATAGAAAACGTTTTAGGGTGTCCTTATGTAAGGACACCCTAATCCTGTTTTACCCTTACATAAAAACATATACAGTACATTTGTACATAATGTACTAAAATCATATGATTAGATCCAGTTTGAAAACTCTCATACTGTCTTTCCGAATGTTACTCCACCTCCCGATGGCCAACTGTATTTGAAGAAGCAGTGAAAAAGTGAGTTTTCCATAATGCTTCCCCCTTTAAATAAGCCAGAATTCAACAAAAACGCCTATTATTAAATAGACTATGAAGGAGGGTCCATTTGACAAGAGATCAATTAGCTACATTTTTCTGTTTTAGCCGAATAAAATAAGAGATTTTATTGTAGAGCATAAAATACTTGTGTCTGGGGTTCAGAAATAAACCTGTCATTAGCATCATGCCTCTACATGTATCAGCATGTCAAATCATGGAAAACATGCCTTGGGCTAAATAGACACATTATCAAAATAGTGTTTTTCTTAGGCAGACATTGCTCTCCAACAACTAAACATAACCGACTGTGACTCCCCTCCCAAACTGGTGTACACCCTCCCGGTTCAGAGAATCAACTGGGCTTAGTGGGATGTGACAGGGAGAGGAGCTGGTGCACAGGGAGAAATAACAAGCTTGGTCTCTTTGTCAGGTGTTGTGTACCCTTTTCAAAGTGCTTCATGCTGGTAAGACATAGCTCTTTGTGTAAGCTCAGACTCAATGTTTCAAGCGTCTCAAAACACACCAACGTGACACACATTTGATTAAAGAGACATGACAGCATTGTTTGAGACAAAAGTGATCTCGACTTTACCCAGCTGAAATCTAACCACACCGTCTGGGGACAGGAGTTCACTGAGCGACGATGGGAGGATGAAGAACGGAGAGAAGAGAGCCTGGCTGCTTTAAAAGCTGCTACCAAGATCTCAACAGATTGAAACACTTGATATTTGAAGCAAGGGAGCTGCAAGTATACTGTTAATCCACTTCACTCAACAAGCAGATCTGCAGCATTGAGAAACTTTGATATATAATACTAGCAGAAATGTGTGCCAGGCATTAAGAATGATGGGAAGGATTCTCAACATTATGACTTGTGAGCAATTGACAATTTACACGTATCCCATGGATTGTGTAGAGATGGGCATAATCACCATGACTTGGACTAGAGTTTAGAACATTGAGTTTGGCATTATGGTAGTTGCCACCTTGATTTTTTGGAACAAGCAGTGATATGAAAGGGTGGCCAAAGTACAACGGAACGCAGTACAAGGCATTTTTAGGCAACTTAAAAGTAACAATTACCTTTCATGAACTTAAAACCACACTATGAAAGGGTTAAAGTTCTAAAACTGAGAGAATCTGAAGAAGTTGGGTTCTTCTGAACAACACCACTTCATTTTGCAACCAAAAGAGTCGCCACCTGCTCACTGATCAGAACGTGAGGTTGCCGGACTAATCCATTACATTTGTGTTTAATAATCTTGAGAGATAAACTTTTGTTGACATGAGGACTTCTTTAAAAACGGAATACTATCTCATGTTATAAACAACACAGTTGGACATATTGGAACTTTCCGAGTCATAGGACGTGGATGTTCAAGCACTGAATCACATAACTGGCAGGCTTTAAAAAGTAATGTGTAGTGCTGCTTCACAATGTTCCCCTTTGGTGTCTCAAGACAGCAGGACATTTTGAAATGGCAAGGTGTAAATTACAATTCCTCCGTGATCTACTTTGACTTGGCTTGTTTAAACATCACTTTTGCGAAAAGTGTCAAATACACTCAAATACATGGAATACATCTTCTGCATTAATTGGTGTCGAGCTCCTTAATGCCCACAAATAGCCCTAAAACAAGGGATGAAGCTTAGCTAAAATGTCATTTTATTCTTTATTTTTTACTGACTTATGATTGTGATTGTATTTATGTGAATAACATTCAACCCTTCATCATGTTACTTGACAACCTAATATGTGAAGTTCAAATTGACATACAGTATCTCTCACATACGACGCCTGTAGCGTGAACTCCCTGATTCTTGCAACTCGTACTCCCAATTCACTATTGGGGTTTTGAAACTGAACTGTGAAAGGTTTCAAGCGCTACAGCAAAATCCCCTCTCAGATGAGGGTATAAACCGACACCTGCAGTCAGTCTAAATTGGTCCTTGAGGTTTTTCTGATCTGTGCT